AACCATAAATGCCGCCCAAATCGCAAAAATGCTTGGACGTGACCCCACAACAATACGACGCTTCATTAAGAAGTATAAAAAAGTGAAAACTTACCACGTTCTGGAAGAGCACCTGTCCTTAATAACCACCAAATAGAACTACTCCTATGTAAAGTTAACGAAAAAACGACATTTACCACTCCACGAAATTGTCAACAATAATTTAGGTCTTAACTGTATCGACTGCCGCAAATGTATTGTACGATGCTGGACTTCATTCCGTATCGCAGCAAAGAAACCGTATGCGCATATTCGTGTTAGCTGGTTGAAGAAAATGAAGGTATACCCATTTATGATTGGGGAAATATAATTTTTTCTGATGATACGAGTGTGGAAATTGGGAAGTTATCACGACAACCAAGAGTTTAATGGCATCCTGGAGAAAAATATAATGTTAATTGCTTGATACCTACCTTTAAAAGTGGACGAAAATCTGTAATTGCTTGGGGGTGTTTTGTGGGAGGATTAAAAGGACCACTGGTATTTTGTGATGAATACAAGAAAATAATGAAAAAATAATTCAGATGTTTATCTTAGAATCTTAAAATCTAACTTGTTACCTTTTTATAAAGCAATTAAGGAATTAACTGGAAAATACGCGACTTTTCAGCATGATAATGCACACGATCAATAACGCAGGAAAAATCAAAGAATTGTTAACAAAAAATAAAATCACGACTATTAACTGGCCAGCGAATTCACCAGACCTAAACCCAATTGAGAATATTTGGAAGGTGTTAAAGGATAATGTTCAAAATTATGAAGCTTTTCCGCGGTCTATAGATGAACTTAAAGAAGGAATGTTATTTCCTCAATGCCAAGAAGAATTGAAGCAGTATTTGAGTCAATGGATGGTCAATTAAATATTAATTAAATAAAAGTTTTTATTTGGTGTATAAATTGTTGAAAATAAAATGAATCGGAAAAGTGTTAAAATTTTATGTTTAATTTTGAATCGGGTGTTACTTTTTGGGGTACTGTACATGTCCATGTCCATGTATATACATGTATACGTACGTAATTTTGGACGGGCATTACTTTTTGTGGTACTGTACAGGTAGATCGATGATACATGTACATGTATTAAACAGATAAAATCTTCGTTCCTCAAGTTCTCAATTTAAGACGCTCGGCATTACATTACTACTGAGCACTCCTCAGTTAGTTAATTGTTTTTTTTTTTGTTTTATGTATTTACTTATTTTTACTTATTTTCATTTGTCCGCATTATACCCTATTAATAAATACATTATCAGCAACTGCCAATGATGTCCGTGTTTATTTGGAAAAGCGGTTATTTGCCCAAATCAGGGAATCTTGGATTATATAATATCGATATAGATGCGTATTATGTAAACGTAGAGATGTTGACTTCTTTGCGAACCACTTTATAAACACAACAGTTTATTTACTGGTTAACGGCTTTTCATTTTTCCAACATTATTGTAAATCAATCTTTGTTGGATTTAATGACATGCATCCAACGAAAAATAATTTTCTATCTAATGCCCCATTCCGATTTTGAATAAACAAATCAATTAGTTCAAATAACAGCAAACAGTACAAAAGTATTTTTATTAAGATTTGTGAATTTAGAGCGAGTCTATGAAAATGCAACTGTAATTTTTAAGTTTATACATACATGTATAAGTCTTTTTTTATTCTCGCATTTATCATATGATATTCGGAATTCTCGATTTGTAGCTTACCGTTACCTAACGCTAAATACATGTATTAGCTAATATTAAACTCGTTATCGTTGTTAATTAGTTTTACCGCTGCTAACTATAGTTTGCTTATTTCCCACTGAAAATTGTGTGATTTTATTTGTGTGATTAAATATATTGCAATAATATTAATTAAATGAATTTCAAATGTCGTTATGAGCTTTTTGTTGCACTAAAAAAATCAAAGAACAAAGAACAAAAAACTATAATATAAATAACTTGAGACGCGAATTCATTTGTTTAAAGTAAACCTTTGCTTACGTAGTCTGTGCATTCCGTATTTAGTCATAAAAGATTGATTGTGTTATTGTTGATTACGCCTTGTTAATTATTGATTTCCTTTAGGTTTTGTGCTTAGATAGAGTACTATTAGCAGAACTTAATAAATAGTAAATAGTCTCCTTTAATTATTACTATCATCACCTCGTCGTCTATAATTTTTAATTAAATTGAATATGGGAAATTCTAATTCGACTTCAAGTAAAAAAAAAAATACAAGTATCAAGTTGACATATGCGCAGCAAAACCAACAAAGTACATGTAATAATCCTAAAAAATATTACTTACATGATACTGATCGGCTGCAAAACTATCATTTTCTCTGTAAATATATATTCGGATGTAATTTCTCTTGTCCTATGGAAGAGATGCTAAATATGGGAGCTCGTGTTTTAGATGGAGGGTAAATCACATTTATAAATTAAAATCATCTTTTTAATCTCATAAGTAGCCGTTCTTTATACGTATTACGCTTTGCTCTCCGAAAAGATGTGGGCCGGGCGCTTGGCTTCTTGAAATGGCGACAAATTATCCAGACTCTCATTTCTTTGGTGTTGATATCGAGTCAAACTATCCGAGTCAAATAAAACCCCGAAATCTAAACTTTTATCAGTGTGATTTACTGCAACTAGAAAAACTAGGGTTCGAGGAAAACTCCTTTGATATGGTTCGAATGAGCTTTATGAGGTTTTCGCTGGGTGAAAAAAATTATGCAAAAATTGTCGAGAAAATGCTAAAGTATGTCATTTTTTCTATACCGATGAGTACTTTGATTGCAAGCAATATAAATATTATTTTTAATTAATACTTTTGATAGGCTATTAAAGCCAGGTGGGTATTTTGAAATTTCAGAAACGAACCCAGCTTTCCCTGATATTGGACCAAATACAGCACGCTTAATAAAAACATGTAAGTTCAAAATTAATCGATAAATTTAGATATTTTTATTTTGCAATTAATGATTTCGTATTGTAACCTCAACGATTTCAGTTTTAATGAGTCAGAATGCCGACCCCAACTTAAATTTCGAAAAAATATTTCTCGCCACAGAGCAATTAATAAACATTCAACAAAATACATGGGTAACAAAGCTTGGTCCATCTGGTGGCTTCGCCGGAGAACTATATTTGAGCTTATTGGAAGAATTTTACAATGATTCGATCGCAGAGTTGTTAAGCGCGCTAATGGGCATGACTCTGAATGAATACAAACAGTTTTGGCAGCAATGTAAAACTGAGATTATTGAATTGGAAACTAAAGTTCCGCTTGAAAAAATTTGGGGACAGAAAAATGACATTTGATTTTTAGTTGTGGTGCTTGAAAAATTTTATTAATCAATTAATTATTTATGCAAAAAATATAATCTAGATATCTTTTTCTAAGTGTTGATATTGATGTATCATTTTTTACATACTTAAAAGTTCCGAATAATAAAAAATTATATCTATGTATACTTTGAAATCTAAAAATAAATTTATTTTGAACTTATAAATCAGTCTGTCATAATATTATTTTTAAATCTTCATTGAAAGTTTAAAAAATAACTATATACTGTATTTAGTACCTTTTTCAATAAAATATATATAGGAAAAAACACAATCTAAATTATAGTTTGATTTCTTAAATAATGAAAATTGATTAATTTACATTTTATAATATAAAGGTAAAGGCAAATTTAATTAAAATATTTTGTAATATGACTATTAAATCTTTTTGTTAATAAAATAATTGTCCTTTTTTAAAGCAGATTTAAAAATACTTATTATAACGAAAAAATGTTTTCTTAATAAAGAAATTGTTTGTATTTTAACGTATAGATTTAAGATATGAGGACTAGCATTTTAATATGTCAACTCTTTATTACATTTTTAAAACTTGAATAATTAATATTTGTATAATTATTACAAAATTTTTTGCTGTTTTTATAAATTATATATATTACAAAGTATATTTGTATAAATAAATTTGTGCTTTTTAACTCACAATTTTATTAGACCAAAAATCGTAGAGAGAATTAGCACTAAATTTGACTAATTGTCATTATTTGAAAATTAATTGCATATTTTTATACTTACGAAATTATATTAAATAAGTGAATGAATATTGAAACACTAAAGTTTTTCAGTAAAATTTTTATACAATCAATTCCTTATAACGAACTGATGGTTCTGTTAGAATAAAATGTTCGTTATGTAAAATTATTATGTTTTGTATAGAGCTCGCTAACAAACTAATAGAAAATTTAAAAATTTAAGGTTCATTATATCCAGAGTTCGTTATAAAGAGGTTCGTTATAGAGCGTCGACAGTATATCAAATACTGCGCCACTGCTGAATTTTTTTGAAGGATTATCATTTCCAAATAAGTTATTATATGCAATGCTACTAGTGCTCCAACCGGATCGGGTCCAATCCGTGATCCGACCGGAATGCACATTTCGGGTCGGGTCGGATTGTGGTCAAATCCGACCCGAAATATTTCGGATCGGCCTAAAAAACGTTATTTCTCGTTCAATATTAATTGGAATTAAATGAAAATTTGTGGGTATATACACAATTACATTCCGAACAACTCTACTTAGAC